ATTAAACCAAAACTCTCTTTTATTACTGTGACATATTACTTGCACCTCCTACTGGATGAAATGCATACCTGGAAATTGTATGTGTGTGTATCCACTGTGGAAGACAGACAACTTTATACTGAGAAATGTATCACTTTTCCCCACCACTGCTTCCTCCCCCATTGCTTTTTTTGCCTCTTAAAACAAGGACAAGTCTTTTCTTCTCAATCCCTGCCTTAAATGAGAAAAATAGCCCAGATTTTTACATAAAAGTAAATACTTCTTGGAAACATTATGTAAACTAGTAAGAAACTTCATCTAAGAAAGACTAAGTGAAAAAACAAAACAAAACAAAAAACAACTTGCACCCAGAATTTCTGTAGCCTCAATTGTGCAAAACTCGAGCTATTCCGAGGTGCTGAACTCTCCCTATGTACTGCATGAGGAGGAAACATGCTTACCACAGGTTATGGATTCCTCTAAAAATCAGCTGAAGTCTGAACTGAAGACAGAGGGTCACGTTTTGTGCTGGCTGGACAGCTGCTGCATCCAAAGGTACAAAGACTGAGAACGTACCTTGCCCAGCAAGGCAGACAGACTGTCAACAAATGTGGCAGCAGTTGCATGGAAGAAGATAAATCAGCCAGAAGTACACTCTTATGCACTGATAGCCACCAGCTGGACAACAGCTCCTGTTCCACCTTTGCACCTTTCTTCTAGGTGTTCCTGGAATTCTTTCCCTTGTTTCCTGATCTCTCATAGGTCAAAGCATCCTTTCAGACTTTCCTTCAAGTCATCCACAGCCAAACCTCCTTTTTTCAAAGGCTTTTTCTGCTTATCTCAGAAGGAACTTACAATGTTCTGAGACCAAAACTTTCCTGTGTAATTAATCAATTTCATATAGAAAGGAAAAACAGGCACTGAATGTTGTTATTCTTCTTGGGCTGCAGTGGTATCACTGACAGCATTGGAAGCAGACACATCACAATTACAAGAATTAGATCTCTGCTTAAGGAAAACAGAGCTACTTACTTTAGGTGCTCCGTCCTTTTGAATGCCTACGTCGTTAGTTGCTATTCCTTTCACACTCCCATCTTCATGAAAAAGAACCTTTGGAAATATTAACAAACAAACAAAAACCCATTTAGATGATCATCATTCACATGACCTAACACACAACTTCTAAACACCACGCCTTTCTGCTGTCTAATGGTACAACTTGGTAGACAGAGTAATTATTAATGTACTTGCTGATCTGCTTTGGTGAATCTGGGCCAGGGAGTTCAGTCACTGAATGTTGTGGCTGTACAAATGCTGTGAATGTACCAATAATATGGGGTGCAGCAGGGGGGGGTTCCAAAATGCTTCTTGTATGCATACTGATGTCATTATTACCTCAGCAGCTGCATAGCCTGGATACAGCTCCACACCCAGAGCTTCTGCTTGTTCACCCAACCATCTCACAAAGTGTCCCAGACGTACTATGTAATTCCCATGATTAACCATTGGAAGTCCTGGAAGGCAAGAAACAAATAAGCATACAAACACACCTGAAACAGAACACTAAGCAAACACCAGCTATATACAGCAGATGTTGTATCTTTTCCTACAACTACTATTTTCAAAATAATACTGCTGTGCTATTACAGCCATCATCTCACAGACCCAAACATTGCAAGTGATTCTCCATACACTCACAACACTACATTGAATCAAAATTGCTTGAGGCACAAAAAGCCTGAAAAGGAAACTGAAAAGACAGTACAAAGAGCTCCTCCCCACACCTTACCTGGCAGAATTGGTACTGGAATTCTAGATTTCTTTGTTAAAATTCCAAACTTGTCTTCAGTTACAGGAGTATGAAGTGGAGCCTACATTAAAGAGAACAGAAACAGGGCAGTAAGTTGTTTTCACAGCCAATCCAGAACAACAAAAAAATCCATCACAGCAAAGCAAAAAGACAATTACTGCCCGCACCCTGCAAGATCAACTTATTTTATACAGTACTACACAACACAAGATTGAGTCAAATGGATGAATTTATTACACACCAGTAACGTGTCTGTATGTTCATACATACCCCCCGCTCCTTCCAGTCTGGAAAGAGTTCTTCTAAGGATCGTGGCTCAAGGCAAGCACCAGACAGGGTATGTGCACCGATCTGAGATGCCTTTTCCACCAGACACACGCGTATTTCTTTGCCCTGCTCAGCAGCTAACTGTTTGAGACGAATAGCAGCAGAAAGACCTGCAGGGCCTCCTCCAACAATGACAACATCAGCTTCCTCTGCAAATCTTTCCATGTTTACCCCTTCAATAGGAGAAAAAAAAAAAAAAAAAAAAGGATGATAATTAGATAATCCAATCCCTAATTTGTCCCAGCCTCTTTCTGCTACACCTTGCTTAGTGATACTGGCTATTTGGTATCAGAGAAGTATTACCTGTTGTAAAAGGCAGCTAACATTTAACAGAATCCCTTCAGTACTTGGAACAGTGCACAAGGACATTAGCCTTTCAGTGTAACAGAAAACAAGCCATGAAAAACAATCTCTATGCACCACAAACATCAGGAAGTTAACATTAAAGTTAATTAGGAGCCCAATTGGCTAGCTGTATCAGAGACACCTGCTGAAATTCTAGGGAAGGGAGAAAGAACTAAAAAAAAAAAGAGCCTCAGTTAGAACAAATTCCTTTATTTTACACTAATCCATTAGAGTCTTTTCCAGAAGTGGAACCACTAAAACTGATAAACGCAGAGACTGGAATGCCCAGAATGAATATTCATCTTATTTTCTCACACTCTCACAGTAAACACAACTGAGGAGAAGTCCAACACATCCATACATGACACAACTAAAACTTGCTGTGTTAGTATAACACTAAAGTTGACTGTAGATCTCCTTGAAATATCTAGGATTGGATTTAATCTAACTTCATTTCAGAGCAATAAAGACACTCTGAGATGGCGAGCATAACATTTCATTTGCAATATAAATATTGTACTTAATACAATTTCTGTTGAAAAGAAAAACAGCTACAAATTTCTGCACTATTAAAGCTCAATCAGAATAGAAGTTTTTAAAATGCATTTTGCCCCCACCAACCTTCCCATCGTTTGTCTTTGTCCCGAGGATGGATGGTGTAATGCGTGGTTATGCGAGGCACAGCAGCAGTGGATGCCCATCCTGCTGTATGCAGCGAGGGAAGGCAGTCCCTCTTTATGAGCTTCAGAGCACGAAAGCACTGACGTGCTGCAAAAACAGAAAACAGGTTTGCCAAAACAGTCCTTTTTGAAAGCTTTCCATTTCCCACAGCACAAGCAGTACAACAAATACGATAGTCCCCCTCCTCCTCCAAAAGACTGCACAGAAAGGGTCAGGACACACCAAGTAATAAACATTGGCTGTGATGAACTTTTAATGTGAACTCTGTACGTAGCCAAGAGAGCATAAGAGCTATAACCCTGTCTTCTCACAACCCTCAAGCATCCTTTGCCTGCAACTGGAAGCTGTGTGGTGTGGCTGACACATCTGAGGGATGGGATGCCACTCAGAGACCTAGACAGGCTTGAGCAGTGGGCCAAGGCAAACCTCAAGAACCACAGAATGGCCTAGGTTGAAATGGAACTTGTGGATCATCAAGTTCCAATCCCCTGCTGTGGGTTCAATAAGCCCAAAGTCTTACATCTGGTCATAGCAAGCTTCCACTATCAGTGCAAGTTGGGGAATGTAAGGATGGAGCATAGCCCTGCCAAAAATGACTTGGGAGTACTAGTGGATGGCAACCTGGACGTGAGTCAGCAACATGCCTTCATGGCACACAAAGCCAACTGTATTCCGGGCTGCACTGAAAGAAGCGTGGCCAGCAGGGTAAAGGAGAAGATCCAGCCTGTCTACTCTGTACTGGTGAGACCTCACCTGGAGCACTGCATATGGAGCTCTTGATGCAGAAGAGATAAGGACCTGTTGGAGCTCATCCAAAGGAAGGCCACAGCAATGATCCCAAAGATAGAACATCTCCCCTGCAAGGACAGGCTGAGAGAGCTGGTGAAGAGGAGGCCCTGGGGAGACCTGAGAGTGGCTTCTCAGTATCTAATGGGGGGCTGGGCCATAAGAAAGAAGAGAACAGGTTCTTCAGCAAGGTCTGTCCTGACAGGACAAGGGAAAAGAGCCGCAAACTATAAGAGTGAATGTTTAGATCGAATATAAGTCAGAAGTTTTTTACAACAAGAGCAGCAAGGCACTGGGACAGCTGCTCAGAGAGGTGGTGGATGTCCCACCACTGGAAACATTTAAGGTCAAGCTGGATGGGACTCTGAGCAACCCGATCTAGCTGTAGGTGCCCCTGTTTGCTGCAGGGGAGTTGGACGAGGTGACTTGTAGAACACAAACGGTTCTACAAGAAACAATACAAGGACATCGAAGCCTATCCAGCTCCACTGTGAGCAAAATTGTTTTCCCTTCTACTTATAAGCTTCTTTCGGGTACTACACGGCCACTGCGATGCCTCGCCAGAGCCTCCTCTTCTCCAGGCTGCAGGATTTCCCGCAGCCTGCCTTCACAGGACGCTTAGCTTCACTTCTGACAAGCCAGCAGGGCTGTGGACACCCAGGGTTACCACGGCCCAGACTCGCACCGCGGCTCCTTACCACACAAGTCCCCTCAGACAGCACCGAGAAGCCCCCAGGGCCCACCAGCCAGACAAGGGAACGGCACCGGCTGCCACGCAGCGGCGACCTTTGCTCCCATTCCGCGCCAGACCCAGCCCCACCGCGCCGTGCGTGCAGCCATGCGGCCGGTTCCCCGACTTACCTCGGCTGGAGGACGGACAGCGAGAAAACAACATGGCGGTACCACACGACCCCACTCCACGCCCTCAGCACCGCGGGCATCTGCCCCCTGCCCCACCGCGCGCGCGCATTCGACAGCGCTCGCCCCGCCCCTTGGAGAAAACTACCGCTCCCGGCATGCCGCGCGGCTCTCGCGAGACAGGACGGGATCGGAGCGCTGTGCGGCGCGGGCCATGGCGGAGGCTTCGCCCAGCACCGGGCCTCGGCGGGCCCGCAGCGGCAGTGAGGGAGCGGCGCCGGCCGGAGCCCTGCAGCTGGAGGAGGTGGAGATGCAGATCGGCGACGTGAGTGCACGCCGAGTGGGCGGGAGGGGGTCCGCATGGACGCGTCTTTCTATCAATCTGTCTATCTCATACTATTCTTCTGGGGAAACTGGCTGCCCGTGGCCTGCACAGGTGCACCTTTCTTTAGCTAAGGAACTGCCTGAGGGCCGTGCCCAACGGGAAGTGTGAATGGAGTGAAGTCCAGCTGGCGACCCGTTACAAGTGGTGTCCTCCAGGGGTCGGTGCTGGGGCCCATCTTATTTAATATCTTTATTGATGATCTAGATGAGGGCATGGAGTGCACCCTCATAAGTTTGCAGATAACACCAAGTTGGGAGGTGGTGTGGATCTGCCTGAGGGTAGGGCGGCCCTTCAGAGGGATCTGGATAAGCTGGATCGCTGGGCTGTGAATGGGATGAGGTTCAACAAGGCCAAGTGCCAGGTCCTGCACTTTGGCCACAATAACCCCATGCAGTGCTATAGGCTTGGGGATGAGTGGCTGGATGACTGTGAGGAGGAAAGAGACCTGGGGGTGTTGGCTGATGCTCAGCTGAACAGGAGCCAGCAGTGTGCCCGGGTGCAGGCATCTTGGCCTGCATTAGAAATGGTGTGGCCAGCAGTAGCAGGGAGGTGATCATCCCCTGTACTCAGCTCTGGTGAGGCCGCACCTCAAGTATTGTGTTCAGTTTTGGGCCCCTCACTGCAAGAAAAACATTGAGGCCCTGGAGCGTGTGCAGAGAAGGGCAACGAAACTGGTGAGGGGTCTGGAGCACAAGTCTTATGAGGAGCAGCTGAGGGAGCTGGGATTGTTCAGTGTGGAGAAAAGGAGGCTCAGGGGAGACCTCATTGCACTGTACAACCTCCTGAAGGGAGGCTGGGGTCAAGAGGGGTTTGGCCTCTTCTCCCAGGCAACAAACAGGACACGGGGAAGTGGATGCAAATTGTACCAGAGGAGGTTTAGATTAGACATGAGGAAGAACTTTTTCTCTCAGATGGTGCTCAGGCACTGGAATGGCTGTCAGGGAGGTGGTGGAGTCGCCGTCCCTGACAGTGTTCAAGAGGCGCCTGGATGAGGACCTATGAAATATGGTGTAGTGCTTGTGGTAGCAGTGGTGATGGGAGGACAGTTGGACTAGATCATCTTTGCAAGTCGTTTCCAACCTTGTGATTCTATGATTCTATCTGTCTGTCTGCCCGCGCTCAGGCCGCCTTCTCGCTGAGCCGCGTCCTGCAGGCCACAAGCGCCGTGTCGGCACAGGTGGAGGCGCTGGCGGCTCGCTGCTCGGAGAACGCGCGCTGCCTGCGGACGTGGCGGGACCTGCTGAAGGAGGGCTACGACTCCCTGAAGCCCAGCGAGTGAGCTGCTGTGGGACCGAGCCGTATGGGCGTCTGTTTTGCGTGCGTGAATTGCAGTCGTGTGAAAATAACGTTGCGACTTTGGACTTCCTCGGAGGCTCAGGTGATCTCAGGTTCGTGCTGAAGTAACGCACACGGAGTCACACTGCTCCCAGTGCTTTGCGGCCTTTTGAACACTCCTCGTTGCTGGATGTCTTTGTGAGAACTTCCACAGCCTCCAGCCTTCCCGTGCCTGTGCTCTTTCAATATGGAAAGGATGGGATCGTGTGGCAGGTTGTGGCTTATTTACAAGCTTTAGGTAACCCCTCTGTCCCAGACATTGTTATTTTATTGTGGTATATTTCTGTGAGGTTGCATTTTTGTTTTATGAGAAGTTTTGTTACTGTCAACAATTCTACACTATTTTCCGTTGTAATAAAGTGCCTTATGGTGGTCCACATCAGCAGTGTTTACTGTTAGGATGAATTGTTCTGAAGCACAAGGAAAAGCTTCCATCGGTTAGGACAGAACCTGTGAAATGGACTCTCCCATCTTGGGGAAGAACTTTTTTTGTACTTGATGCTGTTTTTATGTCTTGCCTTAAGCAGTTACTAGTTCATTAGTTTGGTGCTGTTAACAGGGCCTTTGGGTCTGGAAGATCACTGTTATGTAATAAATATCTGTACCTAAACTCCTGTGCCTTTACCACAGCTGCAAATGCTAAAATACAAGGGGAAGCTGCAGGAGAATGTAGCTATACCCTGGATCAGCCACATTTTCCCTGGTAAAGCTATTTTAAAGAGAAGCTGTAGTTTTGTAATCAAAGCAATAAAGTTCTTACAACAAATTTTGAACTGATGGATATTCTTGGATTACTCATAGAAATGAAGATGACATTGAGTGCATTTAGAATCAACTTAAAAGAAAAATAGGAACATTGATAAGGACAGACATCCTACTGAAAGCAGGGGAGCAGCTTTCTGAACGAGCCTTAGATTACACAAGCCCTGGTGAATTGAGTTCTGAGTGTCTGGGTTAAAGGTGATCTACATAGCAGGATTCCTCTTAGCTGTTGTTTTTGTTTGTTTGTTTTCCCAGTAACTCAAAGTGCTGCCAAACAACTTGGAACAGAAGTCATTTTGTTCAATGGACAATCTTTTATTTTGATTGAACGTACAGTAGATGCTTAACTTTTGATTTCAAGATAATCCAAAGTTCTGTAAACAGCTGAAGTGTGAGTCACACTATTTTTAATTCTACTTCTTACATTATTAAGAAGTTAAGTGCAAACACCAGAAGTATCTTTTAACTTCATTTTAAAAAGCTTCAAATCACCAATACAAAAGAATTTATTTTACCTTCTTGGGCTTCCAAGCCATTGGGCTGGGAATACGGTACTAAAAGAACAAAAGAAATCACAGTAATTCTTAAGGGAAAAGATCTTAGGTGTGTGTATGCAAAAGAACTGCCTCTACATCTATCCTTAACACCTTTTTTCTGGGGTGCAGAGGTTTGTTTCAGCTTGATGACATTATTGTGCTGTTCTATTACAAGGAGGAAAAACGCAGCCCAAAAAGTGCAGAACTGTGGCGTTCCTAACATTTTTTTAGCCATATTGCATCTGTTCAGGTATACAAGGAGACTGAATGTATATGTGATGAAGCTTACTAAGACTGACAGTCATCTCTTTGGCACCCTCCTGTTATTCAACATGCAGAGATAGATAAAGGCTGAAACCTGTTGAAGTGTGTAAGCTGTTGGGAGCTATTTAGTGTAGCTCATAATGAAATGGTGAGGAGAAGAGCAGCGTCAAGACATTGGGGTGCTCAGTTTGGTCTTCCTACCTCTTCCAAAAGGAGAAATTTCCTCTAGTTAACAGCTGGAGGACACACAGTTGAGAAACACATTTAAAAAAGAATATTCTGATTCTGCTTGAATTACAGCAGTTGTATGGGTGAAACGGTTGATAAAAGGAATAACGTTTCCAGCTGTTTGACCTTGACAAATATAATAAAGTCACCTAATTATGAAATGAAAATATTTTCTTACTGCTATTCCCAAAAGCTTTTAAGAGCTGTATGCAGTCTAAAAAGTCTACCACTCAGAAATCTTGAGAGGAGTATGATTTTGAAGATGAAACCAGTCAACTCTGAAAAATAAAAGAGCTGTTGAAATGGGTATTTTTTTTAACTATAAAAAGTTTATTGAAAATAGCCTTTTTTCCCCCAAAGATAGATGATTTTGAAATGCTGTGATTTCAGTATGAGATGTTTTAAATATCACTTCATTTTTTTTTTTCCCCACACTCCTGGCTTGCTGGAGGAAAAAAAAGAAAGAAGAGATTGACTTCTCATTCTGAACTAGAATGAGTTGTCAAAATAGCAGGAACTGTTGCAAGGTGGAAATAACACTTGATATATTGGTTCTACCTGCAAGCAGCCACACTCTGCTTCCTCCTGCTTTGAGTTCTGGTGCGCAGGAGCCCAGGCGTCGTATCTCCCTCGCTTGTCATCGTTGTTGCAAAGCAGCAACTCCACAGGCGTGCAGACATCGCTGTGAAGATTCCAAACGTATTTACGTGTAGGAATTTAGTCTTGTTGACTGTGTAGTGACAGAGGCTTCAGAGGAGTCTGTACAAAGCACAGGGTTAGTTAGCTTTGGTGTGATTTCGTGCGTTGGCCACATCTCTACCCAAATGAAGGACGGACCGTAAGCTTTCTGACTGCCTTTGCCCCTTTTGGATCTTCTTTGTCTGTAGTTGTACCAGAACTGGTGAATCATTTCTTTGAAGGGTCGTGTAGTCAAAGTGTAGAGAAGAGGATTCAGAGCACTATTTATGGGCAAGATAAAAATCACTACCCAAGATGTTATGGTACCTTGGGGAGAGAAAAAGAAAGGAAGCTGTAGTAGGCATTATAGCGTTTCTACCCATTAATTAACATGAGCCCCTGATGCTTATGAAACAGAGCTTCCTGCTTAGAGGGGTGGCTGCACACTTCCAGCTTGGCTTCATATCGCAGGTTGTTTCTTCTCACTATTATTTTTGCACTACCCTTTGCTCTTGTATCTTCTCTATTCTTTGCTTCCTGTCACTGCCTGTGATCTATATTCCCTATTCCTCAGTATTATTCATTATAAGTCCCCCCACAAAGCTTTTAAAGTTTTTAATCTTTTACTGGTTTTACATGGGAATGTATTTTTAGCATGAAGAAGGTTAGCTTGATTTTACATAACTTAGTGCTTGAAGTGTCAGTTTGTGCTAGAAAGTTATTTCAGGGTAAGAATTATATGGTTAAATCGAGATATGAAATTTTGTGTTGGCTTGAGCCCTAGTTAGGCAACAGAATCTCCGAAAGCCAGAAGATGAGAAAGACCAATCCAGTGCAAGCTTGGTTTACAAAATCATCTGATATATTTTATAGATATTCTATTGGGACAGACTTCAAAGATTTGATTTTTTGTTGTTATGTCCAAATTAAATGTGACTAACCTTGTAGATGATAGTAATATAATCCAGTGCAGTAATAAAGCAAAGTATAATTCATTATATTGTGTGTTCATCTATGAAGATAAATAAGCATATAGTTCATTACAGTAATATAATTCAATACATTCAATTCTTTGTTCTTTTCAATGAGAAACTATCTTCATGCACAGCCAAAACAGCAGCAAGGGGAAGAACATACCTGGTATTTCTACTTGCAGTAAAGAAAGGAGTTTCAAAATAAAAATGGGTATCCAACACAGTGCGTCAGTAAATACAATGAAGAAAAACCGTTTGGCCAGTGTCATCTCTTTTTTGATATGATTCTGAATCTCAGTAGCCATAATGGCTGTTTGGTGAACACTGTAGAACATACTTCCGTAGGAAAAGACAATGATGAGAAAAGCTGCCAAGTTTACACCTGTTGAAAAGGCTTTAATTAGTTACTTCTTAAAAGCAGATCGGCAGTTCCACATCACTTGTGTGCAAGTTGGATAATAAAGAAAAATCCTTGCTCTAAACTGCCAATCCCATAAAATTAAACAGTCTTCTCTCAAACATGGAATCTCTACTCCAGCAATCACATCATCATCACCTGACAAGCGTTTGCTATTGGAGCCGAACAGCGCAGCTCTTCTCTTTACTTCCCTGGCAAAAATCTATTCCTTCAGGAACTCAATGATTCTACCTTCTTTCCAACCTCTGAGCCCTTCATACATCTTAAGATACCTAAGCATCAATCTAATATAACAAAATAGATTGGAAAAGGTCTGTATGAAAAATGGATATCCCAACAAAGCTGCCAAATCTGTTTGAAAATCAGGACCGTTATTGTTTATAAGGAAGGCTTTAATCACGTATCAGGAAAAAAGGCAACTTACCTAAAAAAATGACAACAGAATAAATCTGACTTCCTGAACTTTCTGATTGCTCTGAGTGAAGAGGGAAACAGACGCCATTGGTGCCATAGTAGTTCCTGAAAAATTCCTTATTGCTCAGTGGAATAAAAGCAACAACAAACCCAATTATCCAGATAAGAACTAAAATGGAAATTGTCCTGCATTTTCTGGGCTTCAAACACCTAAAAGGATAAACTATGCAGATGTATTTCTCCAAAGTCAGGTAAGTCAACAGTAAGACTGACACCTCTGTAGACAGAATAGCCAGCGATCCCACCAATTGACAATGAATACTGTCCATCCACAACTGAGCGTGCTTGTTGTATTCTCCACGATATTTAAGATCAAAAGCTCCAATCACAAATAAATATATTCCCATCAGACAGTCAGCACCTGTGGGCATAGTGCTTAACATCATTATTTACACATCTGAATTTCCCGTTCTCTTTGTGTATATGTCTGTTCAAAAACAGACATGCACACGTTAGTACACGTTTTTAAGCCAGCTAATACACAGTGATAAAACCAATGTTAGAGTTGGAATGATACCGTGAGTTGTAGCGAAGGCCACATAATTCAGCTCTGTTACTCCTTTTTGTCAGCTTTTGTTTGAGCTAATAATCTATGTTTCATAGTTGTTTTCAGACTTATATATTGAATCCTGAATAAAATTGGTTTTCAAGCTGAAAAAGCATACTTCAATTTATAGAAATACGCTTTCAACCCTTTTCTTGGGTTGGATTAAAAGTTTAGTTTTAATTCGTCAATTTAATTCGTTCCATTTAAGTTTAGTTTAGATTTGTCCATCTTACAATAATTCAAAACTGCTGTGCACAAGCTTCTACTAAGACTTGAAAGCAGTCGGCAAACACAATCAGCAGTGCTCTTCCTCCTGATTAGCTTAGCAGGGAAAGGCAGAAGGTAGAGGGAAGCTCCTGTGCATGCCTAGGGTAATGCTAGAGGGATTGCTGTGACACTTGTTGAGCTCCTTTTGGAGCATTAGAGTGAGTGAGCTTGTATTGTAGATCTCTCAGGATGCGCTCACCACTCCTCACGTGCTCAATAATGTTGGCAGGGTAAAAATAATCATTAAATTCTAGCATTTGCTTCACGTTTTCCACTCTAGTGCAACAAGAGAAACAATGAGCCTTGATTGCTTATATTGAAAGATCATGACACTTCTTACTCCTATTATATTTTATATGGACTTACCAAGAAAAGGCTCAGTAACAAATATTTCTGCAATGCTAACACTACAAATTGAAGAGGAGCTGTCAACACAGAGCTGAAGGTGTCTCGTGTACACACACACATACATGCTTATGCATAATCTCAGTGACTAGAAGTTTTGCATGGTGCTCAGATTTTTCTAATGGTTAAGCAATAACAATTCGTGAATCACTGACATGCAGTATATAGAAATGCTGCCATTTTATACGCTGCTGACAATTACATTTAAAAATGCAAATAATACCACTTGTGAAATATTTAAGTTTAGATGGATTTGTACTGAGATGGGCTATTAGGAATGGTAACAGAATCCCATGCAATTGTTTAGATTGTTTAGCCTGGAGGAGGCTCAGGGGAGACCTCACTGCACTCTACAACTCTACAAAGGGAGGTTGTGATGAGGAGGGGTTTGGCCTCTTCTCCCAGGCAACAAACAGGACCCGAGGGAATGGCCGCAAGTTGTACCAGAGGAGGTTTAGGTTGGACCTGAGGAAGAACTTTATCTCTCAGAAGGTGGTGAGGCATGGAATGGCTGCACAGGGAGGTGGTGGAGTCGCCGTCCCTGGCAGTGTTCAAGAGGAGGATGAGGAGCTGCGAGATCTGGGTTAGTGCTTGTGGTAGCAGCAGTGATGGGAGGGCGGTTGGACTGGATGATCTTGTAGGTCCTTCCCAACCTTGTGATTCTGTGATTCATTAAGAGGAAATTGTTCACCCAGGGGGTGGTGAGGCCCTGGCACAGCTGCCCACATTGCTGCTGGTGCCCCATTCCTGGAAGAACTCAAGATCGGGCTGGATGGGACCCTGGGCAGCTGAGCTGGTGGGGGGTAACCAGCCCACAGCAGGGGTTGAGACTGGGTGGGCTTTGAGGTCCCTTCCAACCTTCCAATGTCTACAGCACTAGAATCATGAAACCTTTGCAATCTATCAACAGTTTGTTGTTACAGAACAAAGGTAGCATCCAACAAGACTTCCTGGTGGGGAAGATATGGCATTTTGTATTGCCGTTCACACGAGCATGAGGGTTCAGTAAATCTAATGCAGGAGATGTGTCACCATTTTGTAATAACAAATACTGTGCACACTATGAGCAGATTAAAACACTATTCTTCTACTTTCATGCATGGAATACTCACAGCAGAGAGACATTATTGAGATGCCGTGGAGCTTATTTTCCGATCTGATGTAAGGCCTCATACAGATAACAAAAATATTTCCAAAGCAAGTGATGGCAGATACAACCCAGACAAACACTCTCTGTATAATGCTAGCTAAAAGATTCTCCAGGGATGAAATCCCATCAGTATTAGGCTTACAGCTGCGCACGTGAGGGGCATATCCACAGTACTGGAACTTCTTGAAATATCTGGTCGTGAGAAAGAAAGACAGAAAATAGATGGCTCTATCTTTGTAGCCAGAATATAAAACCTCTTTGGTAAATACTCAGAAAACGTATCTCAAAAGAAGATAAATGAATTTTAAATTACCTAATAACTGTTTTTTCTTATTCAGTAATCTGCAAACTGTGAAATTACAACCAAAGAAAACAAGCTGGAATGATGATCTACTTACATGTGGGAAAGGTTTCTAAGTGGAATGAACATTCTTCTCTGGATGTTTGCAATTTCAATGCCCTCCAAGCTGCTGTAAACAATATATTCTCAATGAAATGCAGTAGAAACTCAGTGGCAGAAAGACAAATTGGGTGAGCATTTATACTGTATTCATATGATGAAACTGTGCATTCATGTTATGAAATTAGAGATGAACTTAATTGTGTCTACTCCATCATTCTTTTGGAACTTGAATAGAAACCCTAAATAAAAGCTAAAGTGGAACAAAATGAATCACACTTAATTTTACTAAACTTGCTATTTTTCCAGTATCTCAAAGAAGGCAGTTTTGGTGCTCTCAGCAGTGCCATCAATGATTGCCCTTCTCAGGTGTTGCTCCACCATCTTTCACCATCCCTGGAAAAATCATAACTCGTTCCAGCAGTGATATCTTAAATTTCTGCCTTCCATCCCAAATACTGCTTTACTAGGCAAACACATCACAGCAGGAACGCAGGATTTTATTGTGTCAAGAGCAGCAGGAAGCTGGTACACAGAATTCTGCGTATTAGGGAAAACGTTGGACTTCTGGTGACAAATACATAGGAATTCTTATTTGATTTTTTAAAATATATTTTAATACTCCTACAGTAGTAGACCAATAAAGTGTAACTGTGCAGGTTGCTCTTTCAAAACTTCAGTTTCTGTATTCTAGTCTAAAATAATTAGATGTGTAACTTGCGAAAACCTTTAGTTTTCCTTGTGTGGAACCTTGTTTGAATCCACTTTTAAATGCCCTGTGTGCAAAATACTTATGAGTTCTGGGTATATTTAGGCAAAAGAGGGCAAAAGTACCAATCTTAATGGTTTTTAGTTTTGGGAAATTCCGCTATGAGACAAGAATAAATCCCCAAATATAGAAACCTGTAAATTTTAGTTAAGCCCTGAAATTAATCCTGGGCTTGATTTCCCTAGCTATATCTACTATTTTAAGCTGGGAAAGAAGGAATGGATATTCTACAGACTGAGGGCTGAGACATACTGTTTCATGTAGATCTGTCTCAAGGTTCATCAGCTTTCCTAACTTGAAACATGGAAGGTCCTGAGCACTGAGTTGCACCAGTTCTTTGAGTGTTAAATAATGAATGAAGGACATGCTGTAACTTGAAAAAAAGAAAGAGGTAGCTTATAATTCTTTTCTGTGCTCAGCTACTTGTTTTTCCTGCAACTTGTACAGACCTACTCCCTACACCACACGGTCTTTCCAAGCTGGCAGAATTCGCGTTACAGCTGCTGTGTTAGCCAAGATACAAAATTTTCCTCTCAACTCCCTAAAAAAGATTTGTAAAATCCCACCCCCTCTGACAAGACAGCCGAACCATGATTGCTCTGTGGGTTTTTTTGTTTTGTTTTGGTTTTTTAATGGTGTTAGTAGTAGATTCTGTAAGAGGTGAAACAGTTCCCCAGTCAAACCTGTACGTACATCAATTTCCTTTTGAATTCCTGCCTTTACTGATTCTAATGTTGTCTACCCACGGCATTCAATAGCCCCTGCTGAGCTTCACGTGACTCTTAACCCTATGGACAAGTTGTTCAAGATCAAAGCTGGGTTCCATTAAACTTGCTCTTTAACACTTGAAAAGACAACATCCTTTGTGAAGTGGAACTCACCATTTCTTTTCATTTGAGAAATATCCAGTAAGAACCTCGTATTTAAATGAAGGTACATTGGAATATTGCTAGTAGTTACTTTCCAGGCTGAAATTTGTGAATAGCTACAGTCTGGTTCAAAGGAAATTTCTTTTAAAACATGTTTTGTATTATGAACTTCTGAAGAAGATGTGCTTTATCACAAAGAAAACATAGCTAACTGTTTGAATAGAAAAACTTGATACTTACAGGGATTTGAGTTTGGTTAGAAAATCAAACTGGTCCATTTGTATTTTCTTGATTGGATTGTAAGAAAGGTTCCTGTAAATTCAACAGAGAGTTAAAGTAACATCATATATCTTCTTTACAGCCTCTTCAAAGATAAAGTAAAACTACTTTTCAGCCCTCTAGGAAAGACCTGCTCTCTTGGCAGTTGTGAATATAAGTAACATCATTTCTGTAGCATTATTCAGCTTGGTAAATACCCTTCCAATGGAAAGAGTAGCCAGATGCTTCATTCTATGCTACTGCCACATACATTCACATGCACATCTGCATCCCCCAACCTGATGCTTGAAGGTTTTCAGTAAGTAAAAGAATGTAGCTGAACTGCACACATTTAGAAACAAAGTTTAGTTTGGTACTTGATAAAATCCATCATTTCTAATGATTTCTGTGAATACAGATAGAGATAGTTCTAATTTCTTCTCCCTATAACTCTTCCTTATGATTTTGTTTAGATAAGGTAAATTTAACATGAAAGCTCAGTATCTGCAGCTGGCTACACTTGATTATCCCAAGAGTTGTGACTGATCCCAAGAGTGCTGGAAAAGCAGAAAAATAAGGTATTGCACATGCTGGGTCCTGGCTAGAAACAGAGATCTTCTCAGCTGTGTCTGGCAAGGGTAAGAACAGGGACTTTGCACAGGTGGGTTAACCTCCAGTAAAACTTGCTCATGGCAATGAACAAAAAAAGAAAGAAAAAAAAAATAACCAATGCTTTCTCAAAAGGTACATTGGGTTTACACAGCTTTGAGTGCACTGGGGAGTCTGGCTGCCTCTCCGTACTGTCTTCCTAGTTTAAAATCAATGCAGGATTAAATGTGCTGGCCTGAGCTCTGTGGAGAGATCTTCAGTTTTCTGACATAATCCTGCAGATTGTGTAAGAAAGACTGGGACTTTTCAGCACTTGAGAATTTTTCCATGCACGTTATGGAAAAGAAAGCAAGCCTTTTTTGTTTGTTTGTTTCATAATGTCTTATTACACTTTTTTGGATCTCTTTTACAAGAGGAAAGCACTTGCTAACGATGCTATTCAGTTCTTACCCTTTTAATTTTTAGAGCCAAATCATAACATCATATTAAAAACTCCCATCAAAACGATGAAGTTCTCCTAATATAGCTAGCATAGGTCATTTTGCATACACTAGCAAGATCTGGAAAAAAATAGAATTTGAATTTGCTCTCTTTTTGGATATGGAAATGACATATTTTACAAAATTATTCAGGGCAAAATGACAAACATAAAATTAAAGGTAAATGACAGGTGAAATTGCTTTTGAGTCAAGTGTTTTTTAGGCAAAGCTTATACAGAGATGCTCTTTTTTTCCTGGCACTCATGAATGAAAGCATATCATATGAGTAATGTACAGTCTAATAATAATAATAATAATAATAATAATAATAATAATAATAATAATGAATCCTTACAGTTGTGAAAGCTCCTTTAGATCCTTAAACACATATGCAGGAAGCGATTCAATTTCATTGCTAGCCAAGTCCCTGCAGAAACAGCCATAGGTGAGACGTAGTAAGTTCTCAGTAGGTTCAACAATTCTGCTGAAGAGTTTTGTAATTTCAAGACACACAGTTTCATTCTATTTGACAAATATTTCATACTAGATAGATTTTACAATACTTGGACTATAAAAGAATGCTATTTTTTGGACTTGGACTATAAAAGAATGCTATCTAGCTATGGAAAGCTAGATACACCAGATTTCTCTTGGTCTAGTTATTTCGGAGACATCATTAGATCATAATTTGTTATTATTTTATTTGCATCAAAAAGAGTAAAATACCTTTAATTTATGGTAATTGACGTATGGAAAATAAACTATGAAAGTTTGTGGCTTGTTATACAAGAAAGAGAAGAAATGGACTCACAGTTCGTCTAGCATTTGGAGAGAAGAAAAGCTGTTTTCATTCAGGGATCTGATTTTATTTTGCCTCATCACCCTAGAAGGAGAAAACAAGCATATATTTCTGCTGCTCAAGGACTGCTTGGCATTGAAGAAAACTTTTCAAAACTTCTAAGATTCTTTCTTATCTGGATCTTCAGAAATCAGCCTCACATATTCAGTTAACAAGCTCATCAGATACCCAATTGCACAAATAACTTGTGTTGCATGTATGTGAATGCACTGTGTGCTCTTCAGTTGTATTGCTACCTACCAACAACTAAAATAATTAACTACTGATTGCTTTGAGATTTCAAGATTATTTCAGGAATAAAACAAATTGTTGGGAGAGGTTTGAATGTTCAGGCTGTTCTTTCTGGCAAGCTCATTTAGCGAGGCTGCCATTCTAGTGCTCTTCCGTCACCCCAAACATTCCTTTACCCATAGGAGATCAAAATACATCTTCTGAGAGCAGGAGAAAGATAAATTGGGCTAGAAGGCTTGGGACCTAACAGCCTTCAGGACATAAGGTCATAGCTGTGCAACTCCTTCACCCATTTATCATCTGCTACTGCACTTGATCCTTGATTGAACGATCAACGATTTAATGAACAATCAACGATTTAATGAACAAAGAGAAAACCAAGAATAGGAGTGCCATGGAAGAATTAAAGATTGGAAGTGAACAGGCAGGCTCCAAATCTATCAAATGGCTGACAGGATTTCTGAAGACATCGTGACATTACAGAAGAAACTTTGAAGAGAATTCTACAATTCTCAAATTGTTGTACCAACCAACCAGGCTGTTGAACTTTTTGAAATGAAGAAATGAGCCAAACGTGGTTTGTGTTTTTGCTGCTTTTTGGTCTGTATTTTATTTTTTTCCCTCCTTTTCCAAGTAAAATGTCAGACTGAGAACTTCTAAATATTGGTCATAATCTGTTCAGCGAAATTCAGCTGGGCACCTGAAGGCTGAATTTTGATACAAATTTAAACAGTGGTTATTCTGTACGGTGCTGATCTATAATTAAGTTTCCTTACATGTAAATAACCACAACATTAAGGAAAATTTCAGCTCATTCTCTCTAGCCAGTATATCCCTATTACTTACAATACAGTTAAACTGCTGCAGGAGATGAAAGTGACGTTTCTTAAGTGATGAATATGGTTGCCTTCTAAGTCTCTAGGATATAAAAACAAAACATGCAAATAAATTTATTGCAATCAGGCTGTTATTCTAATGTAATTAAAGAAAGCTACTACCAGAACATTATGACTGCAAGAAAGAGAACAGAAACCAGACATCTAATTTCTCTGCACACCGGACTAATGACTCCAGGTCATCAACCCTGCTGTGAACCAGCAGGCATTCTGTAAGATCATTCCACTGTCCATTATAAAAAGTGCTACAGAAGTGCAATACACTGGATGTCAGGGGGAAGTTCTTTACAGAGAGAGTGGTGAGGTGCTGGAACAGCTGCCCAGAGAGGCTGTGATGCCCCGTCCATCCCTGGAGGTGTTCAAGGCCAGGTTGGATGGGGCCCTGGGCAGCCTGGGCTGCTATGAAATGGGGAGGTTGGTGGCCCTGCGTGTGGCAGGGGGTTGCAGCTTCATGATCCTTGAGGTCCCTTCCAACCCTGGCCATTCTGTGATTCTGTGACACAAAGAAAAGAAAATATTTTCTAGTGGAAAATAAGGTATACTTACAGCCAGTTCAGTCTTGGCATATATTGGCACAGAGGTTTGTCAGGCAAATGAGCAAGAGAATTATTCATCATCTCACTGGAAACAACAACAACAAACAGTATAGCTGGCTACATTTGCAAAAAATGACACTGTGGAAAAAAAAGCTCTTGTGCTTTTGAAAAAAAGGCAGAAAGCACTCAAAGCTTCGTTCATCTCTCACAGCTTTAGGGATACTGTTATTTTCTTAAAATCCTACACAACTCTGTGAAGCACTGCTTTTTTCCTTATCGCGTCAGTTACTGGGTAAAGGAAAAATATTTATTTCACAGCTTTTAAAATTAAACAAAGCAAGTCATTGCGAGTATTTTGACTGTGCTGTCATAACATGTAATTTCTCTTAGTGACATGGGAAAGGGGAGATGGAGGGAGGCTTCTCTCTGGGCTGCTGGAGACCAGGGGCAGCTTATGGGCAGAGACTTGGAAAGGGAAGTAAGAGCAGGAGCCATGGGGCAGTGGTGGCTCCCCATAACCTCCCAGTGGGCAACTGGCACCCACTGCTGTAGCTGGCATATTTTTGTCCTCTCTAAGGAAAATATTGCAGACTTTCTTAGGAGTGAGTTTAGTGCTCGCCCAGGGATTTTGTTGTAGATTCACTTTGCAAAGTGGAGGGTCTCACACACCCTCTTTAATCTCTGTTGTGGCTTCAGGAAAAGCAGTTCCATTCCCATTGATTGTGACAGTTCATAACCACAGTTGGGCAGTTTGTCTATGTGTGAAAAGATGGGCTCCACAGGCGTGGAGATGCTTCTGAAATAGAAGCTCTTCTGCAACAGCAGACAATATGGCGTGATGAGCAATCGCAGCCATTATAAACAGATGTATGTATTTACTATATATGATCTTTTAAAGTAACACTTTTGATTCTTATTCCATACTTACAGGAGAATAAGTGATTTGAGTCCATAAAATGTCGATGGAGAGATCCGATTTATCCTATTGTTTTCAATTATCCTATAGCAAAACACATGTCAGACTGAGAGCTGTCTACAGGCTTAAATTAAACAGATGAAAAAAGACAACAAAATTTGAAGTCACATTCTTCAAAAACTCACTCAAACTACTTAAATGGTATTGGCACACTCCTGCATAGCAGGACAGGGTATACATATTCACTTTCTTTCAGAATAATGTAATATTTTTAAGAAATATTTTTAACTTAGAGGAAGTAACTGCTTTCCATTTTTTCCCCCCACAAAGTGCAGCATGAGTTCCTTAAATTAAATATTATTTATATTAAATATTATCTGGTACAAAAGCAGTGCTATGCACAACAGTTTAAACAGTCCCAATATTTCCTTTAACTTGCTTTAATTACTCCTTGAGAAGACAAACACATCAATGAGAAAGTTACATACAGCCATTCAAGTTTATGGAGATCTTCAAAGACGTGAGGCTTCAAGTTGGTTATCTTGTTGTTACTCAGGTATCTGAATCAAGATCAATAAAAGACAAACAAATGAGATGCATCAGAAGCATGAAAAAGTGTTTTAAGATCTTTCCTTGATAATTGATGCAATTTCTTATCATCATTATTTTTGACTGTGGGAAATTTCTCTTTTTTTCTTTTTGAAAGATAGCCCACTTACAAGCAAACACACACTGGTATGTGATTCCAGTCTCTGTGTCCCCTGGAAAACCAGCTTTCTTTGGCATCAAGAGATGTTTAGGCATGAGTCTTTCATTGAAATGCCAGAGCAACTCAAATAGATAGATAGCAAGAGAGGAACTCACCACAGTGAGGACTTTCTGAACAATTTTGTGAAATATTTTGCCTTACAGATAAGAAAACACAGCATGCTGAGCCCTTTCACCATGCTACTTTGGAGCCCCATTCCAGTTTCATTATGTGGAGTAATTAGTTCCATGAATTTTCTGTGGTCACACTCAGTCTTTGCTAAGGATATTAGTCATAAATGGAGATGCCCAAACAGTGGAAAAAGAAATGTGGGGAAACAAAAGCGGCACTATAAGAGATCTGGGAGAGTAATAAAGGCAGCTGCAATAACAGATAACTTCACACTTGTGAAGGAAATGTAAGGTGTACAATATTTAAAAAAATAAAATCCCATCACAAACACAGCAGAGACAAAAGACTGAACCGAGTGATGGAATTTACGCATCTTCTCTTTCAGCCAGCTCTTTCCTTACAAGTCTGAACTCCCTTACATAAAGATACTGCAAAATTATGGGAAAACAAAAGTGTTCTTTTTATTACTGATACTGGCTGCTCGTGTTCACTTCAATGAACCAGAATAGCATGTCAAAGAGTTCTAATTCAGTCCAAGATCTTGCTTGTGTTTTACTCCTTTTTCCATTCTTTCTGACTATCATATTGTCTCCTTCCATTCTGCATATTTGGGCAATAGGAGTGATTTATGGAGCCCACTTGTATTGTCAGAGTACTGTCCTGACAGAGCACAGATAGCTCTCAATCTTTGTTTTCTCCTTCATACCATGGAGATAAAGATTTGGACCATTATGTAATCTCCTAATATTGAAACAAATAAGAGAGTGATATCCGCAGCAATTCTCAGAGCTGTTCCAGTTTCTCTTAAATATTCTTAAAGCAATACTTACAGTTTTGTCAAGTTGTATAAACCTTTGAAAGCATGTTTGGACACGGCTCTGATTTTATTGTCCTGGAGATACCTAGGAAGGTAGAACAAAACCAACAACAATCGATTCTCTGCTGCATGCAAAGTCAAAGGAAGCATAAGTAAAGAATTACAGTTTATCAGCTAACCTGGCAAAGAGGCCGTCAAGCTTTCTGACATCCCATATTTGACAATTATCATTTCAGAACTAGAGTTGCAGGGACTGCAAAGGTGTTTTAAAAGAAATAAAAAATCGTGGGGGAAATACAGAATGTGTTTAACGGGACATTTGGTTTGCCCACAATGAACAAGGAAATGGTTATGCTCCACCTCCTGATAGATCAGCCCTGAGATTCCTGCTGTGGTGACACAAACACCAGCTTTTACACAACGGGTCTGTGATGTTTACTGCTCAAGAGCTTTCTAAACACATGCACTCAGAGATGTGCAAAATTCATGTCAGCAACACATACCTTCTTCAGGGAGGTATGTCTGTACTGTTAATGAAAACACATCTTTGAAGTCCTTAAGGCAATGGTACTTAATTAACATTGTGGACACAAGATGGTGCTGCAGTGCAGAACACTTGCCATAAGAGCTGACATCCAGTATATTTCCTAGGAACGTTTGGTTTTAGAATTTTGCATGTAATCCTTAATGGAACTAATTCTATATCAATCAAACTCATTAAAAGCTACGATTTTGAACAACACATGCACTGCACATCATAAACACACCTCCTGTTATACTATGATAATTTGACTAGTTGAGCCTATAGCAGGGGATTGCAACTAGATCTTAAAAGTCCTTTCCAAACCAAATCATTCTATGATTCTGCAACACCAGCAGATTGGTAGCAGGCACATTCAGAGGTAAAAGCTAATGCCATGTGAGTAAGCTTCCCATTCCAGTGGAAAGGCTTCAAGCTTTGATTTTGCTGAGAAAACGATTCATGCTTCCACTTCTTTTGGCATAATGCTATTCATCACAAATCTAACTTCATTCAGACACGATGAAGTTTTAACATTTTGCTGGTACAAACCGATCAGTATAAGAACAGTTAAATACACAGAAATCATAGCTTTGGGGAAAAAAAAAAAGATGCCAATCGAATTATTTGAAGCAAACAGGTTTCATGATTAGTGAAGTACTGGAGTGTAAGACAAAACAGAATTTTGAGTGTAAACTGAGGCCTGTCACATTAAGGCTTGTACAGTATGTCAGAGAGAGTGAGAGAAAGAATGAATATTTAAAGATCTTAATAGATATTTTAAGTTTAAAGCTTCCTTACAGGTTTTTAAGGCCTTGGTATTTTCTGAAAACGTCAGCATAAAGTTTCCTTAGCAGATTCTTCTGAAGAGACCTGTAGGAATGAATGCACACAGTAAATCTGCTCTGTAGGTGTATCGAGGATGAACTTATCCTATTTCACACATTTGTAACCATTTCACAGATTCTGATGCATTTTCACAGTAAATCAAACGATTTGGCAGAAATTTCTATAAGAATTGGCTTTTTCCAGTAGAGTCAGGTTATATGTTTTGGACTGCCTCTGCACAGCTTATTAACTGAAAGATGTAGCTGTGCTCTTTACTGTCACACTCTCTTTTTAAAGTTAAACAGAATCAAATCCATTTGCATCAACCAATTCAAGTAAAGTGTTTATGCTAGAAGTGAGTTGGAGTTAATGGAGACTGTAAAAAGACATGAAAGGAGAAATTATTTTACTCATTGTAATGTTGTAAGCAGCTGCTATTCCCATTTTCCACTTTTCATACAGACAGTATCCTTTCAATCCTCCCTGTCCAGACGATTAAAAAAACGTGATTAAAACACCATGAACTAATTTTAACAGTGTAAGACCACAAATATAATCTGTAGACCTGCAGAAGGGTCTCTATCACTACATGGTTGTGTCACAGGGCACTCCAAAGAGCTGGCAGGCTCCCAGTCAGGATGGAAAGTAGTTTTCAGCCTGAGAAAAAAACACACACTCTTCATCTTTGAGACAAGAAGCTTCCTTTGGAAACTTGCTGTTCACTCAGCCCTCATGTCAGATAGCTGACATGAGAAAAATAAAAGCTCTGTTCACTGGGAATTGAAAGAGTGAAAGGAAGACAAACAGCAGGTGAAGACTGTGGAGACACCAATGCATAGCTTTGCCTTGGGCCTAAAAAAGTGGTGTTGCTGTTGTTTGCTTATGGGATAGGATTCTGCAGCTCTGCTGTCTGCCATTTTGCTGGCCTAGGGGTTGGTGATGCAGGCAGTAAATATCTATTTTTTGCTTTTGTCTCCTGGCAGCCAACAATTGCAATGGGTTGGGCTCATTGAGACTAGCAGTTCTCACCAGCTTCCAACAGTGCTGCAATGATTTTTTACTCTGTAAGAGCATCTTTCATACTGCTAATATACTAATATGCTAATACATATAATACACATACTGCCCAACGCTTTATCATCTAAGAATACTCTTCAGTGTTCTTGAGGAAGAAGACAAAGTACTAGTTAAATCCAAGAAGTGAAAATATTTGAGTATAAAGTAAAACCACAGATCTATTTCAAACTTCAAATGCATATACAGCTTATTTCCCTATTTGTGTTTCTCTACGTCCCCGTCTGCACTGGGCACTGACTCAGGTGTTCTGACTAGAACAAAAACCATTTAGGACATGGTTGAAGCCTAGTCAGCTTCCCTGACTCACTGCTTTTTTTCTAAAGTCATAGCTGCACCTTTATTTTTGAAGCCTCTGCTGTCTCTGAGCCAGCAGCTGGTTTAAATACATATTAAATACATATGACATTCTGCACTAACCTGAATTTGAACTACTGAATGGGAGCCAACAAGAATCCCATCCAGATGCAAACAGAAACTCAACAGAGATCTGTACCTTTGATTTTTCAGGACAGATCCTTGGGACATTTGATATGGCTCTTCACCATGCAGAAAGTGGCCTCTCATAGAAGTGCTGGCAAACAAAGAGCAATACCAGCCACTCTTCCAGAAGTGAGTATTACACCTATTTATCTGTATGATGACTCACCTCAGGTTAAATCCTGCTAAATAACAGCCTGTTCAGAGGCATTGAATGAGAGCTATTTGCTCAAGTAGGTAGTTTTACTAGAATCAAGATTATTGGCAAGAATACAGAGGGGGAATATTACCAGGATCGTATAACAATGAAACAGTAAAAAAGTCCTAAATGAAACATTTATTTTTAAATTTCTTTAGCTTTTCTTCTTCTTCTTCTTCTTCTTCTTCTTATTATTATTATTTTGCTAGCACAAGTCACTGTTACAAATATGGAATGACCACTTTAAAGTTTTTCAGTTCCTTTTCTCCTGTGGCATGCAGTGAAAATCTGTACTTCAAACCTTAGCGGACTTGTTAACAGAGAGTCCCTATGCTTTCAAAAACACCAGCTGAGCCAACTGGTTCTAATCACACAGCTGTAGTTCTGAAATGGCTGTAGAACTGATTGTCAAGCCTGAGCATAGCACAAGACCCCTGTCATGCTCTACTCACATCATGGTGATGTTTGAAGGGACCAAAGGCACGGCACGCAGTTGGGCAGCATCGCAGGAGACCTCCAGGCCTTGGCACGTACATTCTGCTGGTACAGCACCAGCCACTGCAGGAAGGCATGAACGTGGTGGAAGATTGGGTTTGCGTTGCGATGGGATGCGGAGGAGAGAAATACAGTGTAAAAGAACAGTGAAGCTCAAAGATGGATCTACTGGCCTGTGTCAAATGGAGTTTAAATTAAGGAATACTCCTTTTTTACATCATTTATATAGATCTCGGAATACCCTAATAAAAAATGTAAAGGGACATTAAAAAAATGCTTCAACTCCCAGCCACAGAGAAAGAGCTTTTACAATAGAGCTTTAGGCTTGATACAAGATGGCATGCTATATTTTTTCAAATTTTTCTGACTTTTTAGATCATTTGATTCTTTTACATCTACCAGAACGAGCAAAGTTCCATCTCTGTGATTAATCTCAGTGCTCAAACTAGACCACTTCTGTATGAATGGACAAATGGCTGTAGGTGTAACAGAGAGTAGGGTTCAATAAATATTTGTTGAGTGATGAAGTGAATTTGAAGGAATGTTGCCTTCATTTCACTCTGAAAAACATGCATTTCATGATCTTTTCAGCTGTATTCATGTATTCAATGAAACATTTACATTGCCCTCCTAACTGGCAAACATTTGGCACTCTAACAGAAAACCAGTCACCCTATTGCAACTGAAATTAGCTTACATATATTTGTTAGTCTGAGACATTAATTTTATTTCACTACAAATGAAACTGCGCTACATTTCTATTTCTGATGAGCCCATTTGCTAAATATTTATTTCCAGGAGATGTCAATAATTACAACTTACAGCACTCCGATGTCCTGGTCTGAAACGCGTACAGGGATTTCACTTTGCTGTATTTCCTCTTTGCGTAATGCTTGTC